AGCTGTTGTTTTATATTGTTTTATATTTTATATTGTTTTATATTTCACTAATTCAAATTCGCATAAAATGTGACGACACTTTACTTGAAAATATACAAAATAGAATTTGCAAACTTATCTTACAACCGAGATGCCTTGGGCATCCGTTGAACTGACTACGCGACACCCTCTATCCGCTAAAGTTGGCACTAACTCCTCCGACAAGCTGCGGTCGGTATAGTTCGCTTGCGGACTAACGCCACGGAGTTTGATTATCATAACTTTGTAATTGGCCTCTTTGTAGTTAAGTTTACATGCAAATAAACATGAATTGAATTATCATCATTATCATCGGAGTCGGGATAGCTCAGTCGGTATAGCGACTGGCTGCGGGCTTGACGACTGAGCGTTCGGAGTTCGAGTCCCCGCAGTGGTAAGAATTTTCTCTTCTCAATGTCGTCCAGGCCGGTTCTGGGCCCACCCAGCCTCTCATCCAATGGGCACCGGAGACTGTTTTCCCAACGGTAAAGCGGCCGAGGCGAGAAGCTGACCAATCACATTCAACTAATTCTGATGTCAAAAAAAGTGTGTCTACATATCCACTCACCCATAAGCCTTCATGGGGTAATGCTTAATTAGTTAAGCATAGGGACAAATTTACCTTTTTATTAACATCATCATCATCATTATTACATAGCACAGACAAACATTAGAGCAGTATGGACTCAGCTAAGTACAAGCACAAGTACAAGTACACTCTGTTACAGTTATTACAAGGTAGTGGCGAGGCGTGCTGCTTTGTGGCATATACCAAACCTCAAATCTGGCGCACTAATCCTCTATGGGAGGGCTCCCTACGTAGCCACAAGAACCTCATACCTCACCTCCATATCTTCTTGTTCACAGTGTTCTTTTAATCTATCTATTTGTTTCTTTCTGCCCCTTCCAACTGACTTCCATATTTTCTCTTCTCCTTGATTGCGTCATTTCCTTTATTATCTTCTCTCACTTTATGAGCCGGGATAGCTCAGTTGGTATAGATACTGGTCGCGGGCTGGACGACCTAGGGGTCCGAGTTCTTAAAAAATTTTCTGTTCTCCACGAGGTTCAGGCCGGTTCTGGGGTCCACCCAACCTCTTATCAATGGATACAAGGGATTCTTTCCCTGGGGGTAAAGCGGCAGGGGCGTGAAGCTGACCACTCAGCTACAGCTAGTGTCGAGGTCAAGAAAATGTGGATCAATACATCCAGTCTAACATACCACTTCATGGCGTAATGTTGAATTAGTTAAGCACAGGGATAACTCCCTTATTATAACGGTATTCTTATTTATTACGAGTATTGCTTTTCGCTACCTTTCCATTTGATTTTTATTTGCCGTTTTCCTTCTTTCTTGCTTCATTGTTTTCCTTTACTCTTCGTTTCCTCGTCCCGTTTCCTGCATTTTTTCCTTTTTCCAAGAAGACAAGTGACATCTGCAGCAAGCGAGCGTAATTATCGTGTGTCAGTCATTCAACAGCTTCTCGACGCTTCCGCGTGGGTGCAGCACATTATGCCAACACATTTACTCCACATGCCAGCAATTTTATAACTGCAATTAACACTTCTAAATGTTGTCATCACTTATTTAACCTCGCATTTGACTGTTAAATGGTCTGAAAATTCTGTGTCTCATGCCAAGTGACCGGTAAAATGCCGAAAACTTTTACGGTATAAAGTCAATAAAACATCTGCCAGCTATGGGCCACATATCCTCCATAATTTGTGTTTCAAGGTGAAATGTTTCTTCGCAGCTTTAATTATTATTATTATTATTATTATTATTATTATTTATTCATATTCTTAGACATATATTTAACTTAAGCCTGACGCAATAGTATTTTCCTGCTGCATGGAAAGAATCTGCTGTTGTACCAGTATTTAAAAGAGGCAATCATGCCGCTGTAAGCAACTACAGACCCATTTCTATTCTCATTAATTTCTCTAAATTTTTTTAATTCATTACTCATGATCATGTTTCTCATTACGCTAAATTTAATCCCAGTCAACATCGTTTTACCAGAACTGAATCTACAGTTACAAATTTGGTGACGTTTCTTGACTTTTGGACGCCTGTTGTCCGCGGTCAGCGTCAAGCTGTTACTGTCTATTTTGATCTTTCAAATGCTTTTAACCCCGTCCCATATAATATGCTCTTGCATAAATTAAGCTCATTAGGAGTCTCTGATGCTTAGGTTAGCTGGTTTCTCAGTTACTTAACCAACAGACAATCTCGGGTTCGCGTTTCTGACACTCTTCCCCTCCCTTTTCATGTAACTTCCGGTGTGCCGCAAGGCACTGTTCTGGGACTTTTTCTTTTCAACGTATTCATAAATGACCAATGCAACTCTGTTAACCACCGTAAACTTCTAATTTTTGCTGATGATCTCAAAATTTTCCGCGTCTTTAACTCACTACATGACTGCCTCTTACTTCAATCTGACATCAATGACTGGTGAATTGCTAACTCCATGAGACTTAATATTGCTAAAACGCGTGTTGTGTCATGCACCGGAAAACGAGCATCAGCTTTGTCATGCTATCATTACACGCACCAACAGTATTAAGGACCTAGGTGTTTTCTTTGATTCAAAATTATATTTTCACACACATGTTGATTACGTATTTTCTGAATGCATAAAGCTTTCAGACCTTATTCACTCCGTAACCTACAGATTTTTCTCCCAGGAGTGTCTGTATTTACTATACTTTATTTCCTTTAATGCTAGTGGGGTGGGACTAAGTCCCTTGTACTGCGGCCACTTCTGGCCTATTGTACCAGCCCCAGATGATAGGTGAGGGTGATTGTGGAGCAATTGGTGGAATGAAGATTGGCAGGGGAAACCGAAGTACTCTGAGAAAATCTGCCTCAGCGCCACTTTGTCCACCACAAATCCCACTTGACCAGAACTGGGATCGAACCTGGACCGCCGCAGTGGATAGCCAGCGACTGACCGCTTGAGCTATGGTGCGGCCTATGCTTTACTTTAGTCAGGTCCAAGTTGGAATATGTCTCGGTAGTTTGGAACTCCATCAATTCGACTGACGCCAATAAGCTTGAGCGCATCGAGCAAAAGTTTGCATCCGTCTGTTTTTATGGTTTCTTCCCTCGTTTCCCATACAATTATACAGACGCCTTAGAGAAATTAAGTCTACAATGTTTACGGAAACGGAGACATCTCATTGATACACTTCTTCTGTTCACGTCTATCGTGGGCTTAATTCCTGCTCTTCCCTTTTGGAAAACGTTAGCCTTCGTGTTCCTCCCAGCAATTTTAGGGGCTTCTCGTTGTTGGGTGTTTCTCCCTCTAACAAACACTGTCCTGCTCGGTGTGCTTATGCTGTCAACGCGACATACTTGTAGTCGGGGCCGTTTCTCTCAATCATATTTTTTCCCCTTGGCGCTACAGCCCCAGTGGGCCTAGGCCTACCTCCATGAACTTTTCCGTTCACTTCGGTTTTTCTAGATCTCACACATTCGGTAGGACTCCTTGGGCGGGTGATCAGCTCGTCGCAATGCCTCTACCTGTACATAGACACAGAAAAACGCACACACAAACAAACTAAACATCCATGCCTTGAGTGGGATTCGAACCCACGATCCCGGTTTCCAGGCGAACGAAGACAGTATATGCCTTAGACCACTCGGCTACCGTGACCGGCCTCAATCACATTTAGCATGTAAATAAACAAAAAATTGGATTAAATTAATATGTTTATATATTGATCCATTTAAACGTCAATTGTTTTATATTTTATTGCTGCCATAATTATTCCAATAAAAAATACTAATTGTATATATTTTAATTTCCTCACTTCTCAACTATAGGTTTGGTTTCTGTTGATGGAGTTATTATTATAAGTATTAATTGAGTTATTGTTATTACTCGTATTACTAGTAGTATTAATTTCTGTGTGTGTATGTACATGTATTGTCCTCTCTCGCCATAAATGGCATAACTATTGGAAATGTACTTATTTTATATTTCTCGCCAGTTAAAACCAACTTCAATTTTTCTTGGAATTGTTATTAATTTATTTCTCTTATATAGACCGATTATGTGAGAAATGAAGAAGTGCTGATTAGAGTCAGCGAGCAGAAGAATATCCTACACGAAATAAGAAAACGGAAGGTTAATTGGAGTGGTCATGTTTTACGCAGAAACTACCTTCTAAAAGAAGTTACTGAAGGAAAGAGAGAGGGGCGGATAAAAGTGACAAGAAGACGTAAGAAGATGCTGGATGACCTTGGGGACAGAAGAGGATACTGTCATTTGAAGGAGAAAGCTCTAGATCGCATTAAGTGGAGGAATTGTTTTGGAAGATATTGTGGATCTGTCGTCTGACAGATTACTGATGATGATGATGATGATGATGATGATGATGATGATGATGATATAGAGTGTCATATTTTGTATTTTGCTCCTTAATTATTTTGGTGTATTTCTATGTACTAGTGCTAACTTTGTAATAGGCCAATGTGCTGTTAAGTTTGCACGTAAAGAAACAAGAACTTGAATTATTATTATTGTTATTATTATAATTATTATTATCATCATCATCATCAACATCTTCATCATTTTTGTTTGTAGGGATGTCGACGTATTTGGAGCCAAAATCGTTCTCCTTAATCATATTTTATAATGGTCTTTGCATCATATTAAAACCTATGTGTATATGTATGTATGCACAAAATCCTTTATCTCCGCATAATAGTATAACCATTGTATGTACATATTTACTTTTCTAAGTTCTTAATAATAACCTCGATTTTTAATGTATTATTATTATTATCATATAATCTGTTTTATTTTGTACTTTGTGTTTTGTTGATTTTTTCTTACTCGTGCTAACTTTGTAATTGGCCTCTGGGCTGTTAAGTTTGTAAGTAAACAAAGAAGAAATTATTATTATTATTATTATTATTATTAGTAGTAGTAGTAGTAGTAGTAGTAGTAGTAGTATATGTCTTCTTGTTGCAGGAGGCGGCGTGCGCGAGGCTTTATGAAGAAGGCCCAGGTATCGAAAGCAACAGCAGTAGCAGCAGGATCCACGTGGCAGTGGACAGCAGACAGCAGCGCCAAGACGTGGCCATCTAGTGAAGCTCCCGCCATCCTGCAGTGAACTTACGAGTATGTGGTCTTAAGCTTCGACTGTCATTCTTTGGAATAATATTTATTTGAAAAATAACTGTCAGATAAATTACGTATGGAGTTTTTGACAAATCAGCATGTCACAATAATATTCGCTAAATATCGCTAGAGGAATATCTTTCTGAATTTTACTTCCTTTAAAAGCAATTGCTTCGAAGACTTCTAACGGTGACAGCTGTATGTAAGGATTAGCACCAGTATTCTGCGCAGAATCCTGCGGAACTCCACCCTCAACACACCACTCCCTCCTCTCTCTCTCTCTCTCTCTCTTTCACTACTACGCATGCGAGAAAGCACAGTTATGGGCCTACAGTCATGCGGTGAATCCGCCCGCTTCCCTAGCCTAGCCCATACGAAGTTAGCACATCCTGTAGTATATAAGATGCACACCGTATACAACTAGTTCCAAGCAACATATTAGAAGTTTATCTTTTAATTTTGTTTTGTTGACTGGGGAAAAAAGTATTTTGCTTATATTCCCTCAGTTTCGGTGAATCTGTGAGTCACTGCTAGCCACTTCTAAGACAGTAAAGTAAAGCTATCCCTGTAACAGGCCGTGGAGGCCCATAGGGTTGTGAGATGTTGAGGTTCCCACATTTTCTAGAAAATCGGCTCATAGATGGCGGTAAGGTTGTCAGCCTTAGGCGCCGGCCGCCCTTCACCCCCAGAAAGATCTCTGGTACTCATTTCTGTTAGAGGCTGAGTCGACCCCAGGGCCATAGTGCAGCTGGAAGGATTAGGTCAATTGAAAAAAATCCAATGACCTCATCGGGACTTGAACCCGCGACCTTCCGGCTTGTAGAATGGTGCCTCAACCAAATATACGATAACGAAAGAAAAAAAAGGGAGGAAGGAATAAATACATGATATAAACAAAGAGTATAACTAATAATGGATGAATTAATTTAGTATCAGAACCTTCAGCAAATTAAATGACAGGGTAAAGGTAAAGTTGGCCCTGTGCTTAACTAATTAAGCACCAGGCCATGAAGACGTATGGAGGAGTGGAAGCATAGATCCATATTTTCTTGACCTCGGCACTAGCTGGAGGTGAGTGGTTAGCTTCATGCCCCTGCAGCTTTATCCCTGGTGCCCATTGTATAAGAAGTAGGGTGAACCTCAGATCCGATGTGGGCGACGTGATTAAGAGAAAATTCTTGACCCTATCGGGACTCGAACTCGGACACCTCGCTCGTTTAACCCGTAGCCAGTCGCTATATCGACTAAGCTATCCCGGCCGTATCATGTTGAAAATTACAGGATATACGATACAATTGCAGTCTGAACGCCTAGAAAATTTAGACTTCGTGCAAAGCGATGACGTCATGGGCCGGATTCTTCTGATAGCAGGTTAAGCGATATATACAGCATTATTTTCCTTGTTTACGTTTAATTTTATGTTACGGATGCGACTCTCCATATAAATATATTCTAGAGGTAAAGTTGTCCTTGTGCTTAATTAAATTAAGCAATACGCTATGAAGATATGTATGGGGGTCGAGTTAGAGCTTCAGGAACTCTGAAGCAGATGGAAGTATTCCGTATTCCGTATTGAGGGGGTGGGTTTCCCCATGCACTTAGACCGGTTACTGGTCCATTGTGCGTCCCCTTTTAATTTCTACTGTCTCCATACCCTACCGGTACTGGTGGTTACTATCAGCCCCTTCTGCCAGCGAGGTTCCAACCTCTTACTGGCAGTGGTATCTAATAGTTAGTCCCTTTTTGTCAGCGAGGTCGTCCCTCCTCTGGCAGGGGTTCCTAGTCCCTTTCTGCCAGCAAGGTTTCTACCCTCTACTTGGCAGTGGTATCTAATACTTTAGTCCCTTTCTGTGAGAGAGGTCCCCCCTCCTCTGGCAGTGGTACCTGATACTTCCCCCATCTACCGGAGGAATTGGAAACTACTTGGGCGGGAAACTTGGCCTAATTTTGCTCAGAGGTCTCCTAGAGACATGAGGTTCTTTTACGTGCCGTAAAGCTACGACACGGGACCGACGGCTTAAAGTCCCTCCCGGAGGACTTGTTCCCTGAATTTTTCCGCCCTTAAAGATTCCATTACCTCCGCCGGGTTTTTGAACCCGCGTACCTTGAGTCATGAGGTGGGAACGTTACCCCTAGACTACGGATGCCGCTTAGATGGAAGTAACTGGTAGCTTCACGCTCCTGCCGCTTTATTGCAGGGAATCAGCATCGGATTGCTATTGGATAGAAGGGTAGGTGGGCCCCAGAGTCGGTCAGGACGCTTTGGAGGAGAGAAAATCGCTTGCTTGCTGGCAGGAATCAAATTCGAATTCTAAGTGTTAATTTTCAGTATGAAAACCACGCAGCTCGCAAATTGCCTACAATTCCTTTTTTTTTATTGCTAGTGGGGTGGGACTAAGTCCCTTGTACTGCGTCCACTTCTGGTCTATTGTACCAGCCCCAGATGATAGGTGAGGGTGATTGTGGAGCAATTAGTGGGATAAAGATTGGCAGGGGAAACCGAAGTACTCGGAGAAAACCTGCCCCAGCGTCACTTTGTCCACCACACATCCCACTTGACCAGACCCGGGATTGAACCCGGCCCGCCGAGGTGGGTAGCCAGCGACTAACCGCTTGAGCTATGGCGCGGCCCTTCGCTACAGTTAAATGTACAGCAGAATGGGGCAAACGCCCATAAACACAGTTTACATGATTTTTCTGACGTCTCTTAGTGGAAAATTAATGCCGTTTCTGGGAATCATATTTATTCATGTCACGCTTATCACATCCCTCTGATCGTTAACAATGGAATTCGTGTCACAAACAAATATCAAATGTTAATCTGCAATATTAGATTTTTTGCTCCATTAGTATGCCAAACGTAATGTTACACAATTCAACATACATAATAATTGAATGTCACACAATTCTTACCATATTGAAGAAAGATAAAAGTGAAGTTCGGAATTGTTGGGGTACTGGATTTTGTCCATCATCCGGTGTTCTAAAAGGAAACCAAAGAATAGAATATAGACGACACACAAAATCCAGAAACCAAGTAATTCCGACTGTTATGCGCCATCGTCAGAACCGTTTAGAAAAAAAGGAAAGTTGACCCTGAATATAATTAGCACAACGACTTCAAGATGTAGGGAGGAGAAAGGAGTATAGCTCCACTTATTTTAACCTCGTCATTAGTAGTGGCTGAGGCACTATGTTACAAACCAGAAGGTCGCGTAATCGAGTCCCGATAAGGCGGATATTTTCAATTGACCTAATCCTTCCAGCCGCACTATGGCCCTGGGGTGGACTCAGCCTCTAACAGAATTGAGCACCATGAATTTTAATGGGGGGTAAAGCACGGCCGGCGCGTAAGGATGACGAACTTACCGTCATCTGTGAGCGGATTGCCTAGAAAATGTGGGAGCCTCGACGTCTAAGGACTTCTACTACCTGATACAGGAATAGCTTTGCCTTAGTTTACGAAATAAAGGATATAGACCTAGAGAGAGATGGACAGACAGAAAGGATGTCCATATTATGTATCAATTTTAAAATCAGAGACGCGCTTCCATGATGACTATGGTATCTGGGCGCGTCCTGGTTTTCCCTCTTGTGTAAATGTTTCAGTACGTCTGTTTGTGTGTGTCGTGTTACAGCCGGCTCCAAGATGAACCTGATTAATATGGACGCGGAGAACCGCGTAGTGCTTAACGTCGGCGGGATCCGGCATGAGACGTATAAAGCGACGCTTAAGAAGATCCCAGCTACACGGCTGTCGAGGCTAACAGAGGCGCTCGCCAACTACGACCCCATCCTCAACGAGTATTTCTTTGACCGTCACCCAGGGGTCTTCGCGCAAGTCCTAAACTACTACCGGTAAGCTTTTGTTCGTCATGAAAGTATAAACAAACTAACTAACTGACTTCATGGAGCTGAGTCCTTCTTGAGAAGCTGCTAGTTGTACAGCTACTCAAGAACTTCCCAACATTTTATGCAACCAGAAGGTTCATTCATCCCTGTCCTAAGCCAGACCAATCCAGTTCATCTCATACTGTCTCTCTAAAACTTACTTACTTACTTACTCAGGGAGCTGAGCCCTTCTTGAGGAGCCGCCAATTCTGCAGCTACTCAAGAATTTCCCAGCATTTTATGGAACCCGAACGTTCATTACCGTGTTCACAAGAGCCCTCCACTGGTCCCTATCCTGAGCCAGATCAATCCAGTCCATCTCATACTATCTCTCTAACACTTACTTACTCAGGGAGCTGAGCCCTTCTTGAGGAGCCGCCAATTCTGCAGCTACTCAAGAATTTCCCAGCATTTTATGGAACCCGAACGTTCATTACCGTGTTCACAAGAGCCCTCCACTGGTCCCTATCCTGAGCCAGATCTATCCAATTCATACCATCCTATACTATCTCTCTAAGATCCATTGTCTCTCTAATATCCATTTTAATATTATTCGCTCACATACGTCTTGGACTTCCTAATGATATCTTTCCTTCTGGCTTTCCCACCAATATCCTATATGCATTCCGCTTATACCCATTCAATGCTACATGTCCTGCCAATAATCATGAATGTATAAACTCCTAACATCAGACAGTCTCTGTGGTATATCATAGTTTTCTTGAGAGCTTGAAGCTTCTAAGCTGATCAGTTGTTTTCTTACTGGCATAGAACCGCAAATTTCACCGCCGTATTCACAAAAGCCCGTCACTAGACCTTACCTCGTCTGCCCAAATTGATGCGAGGTTTTGGGCTGCCACTGAGGCGACTATGACTACTGTGTTCTGAGGTGTGACTCCGGGAATACTGGTAGATACTTAACAATTCGGAGAAACCTATTTTCTTCATCTTCAGGATTCTGTCCTGCAGAAAGCGGAGTTCTGCCTTTTGCGTGTTTAATGGTGATTTTTTTTTATTATTCTTACATCCTGGAGATGAAAACGATATGTTCCTCCGAAAAGTTGGTTGACTTTCTCAGGACTACACGGCGTTATATCTCAGAATAGAGGAATTTTCATAGGCACTGATTTTAAAACCTCAAAACCAATGAGTAGCCTGTTATCAATTTATTTTTTACAGTTTCGGAAGTGTATATCTCTGCATTATGCCGACATGTTGAATCCTATAGGCTGTCTACTTCGAAATGTTGTCTAGTACGGTTTCTGTTACCAGTTATTTAAAAAAAAAAAGCTTCATTTATTTCCTGTCCCATCTACGTGTACTTCGCAACTTGTTATGTATCATAAATGTCTTTCCAGAAGCCGCAGTTATGGTTTTGCCACTCGCTTTTATGGTCCAGCATTCACATCCATGTTACAGAGATGTTTGTTGGTAAAGCTAGGGAAATGTACGAGTTTTATTTTGCATTCTGGTCTGTTTCTGGACTTTTGATGACCTAAGATATATGTTCACCGGTCATGGTAGCCGAGCGGTCTAAGGCATGTACTGTCCTCGCTCGCTTGGAAGCCGGGATCGTGGGTTCGAATCCCACTCAAGGCATGGATGTTTGTGCGCGTTTTTCTGTGTTTGTGTACAGGTAAAGGCCTTGCGACGAGCTGATCACCCGCCCAAGGAGTCCTACCGAATGTATAAGATTTAGAAAAACCGAAGTGAACGGAGAAGTTCATGGAGGTAGCCCTAGGCCCACTGGGGCTGTAGTGGCAAGGGGAAAAAAAAAAGAGAGATGTTGTTATTGGAGCAGTTGAGTCACTTGCATTAACTGTGTCGTCATGTCTGTCTCTTGGCAGGACGGGGAAGCTGCACTATCCAACCGATGTCTGCGGACCGCTGTTTGAGGAAGAGTTGGAATTTTGGGGCCTGGACGCGAACCAGGTGGAGCCCTGCTGCTGGATGACGTACACCCAGGTAACAATTATAGTCATTACAATGCCAGACCTTGGGGCCGTGTCGATTATTTCCTCAGAAGCAAAAATAAAAAATCATTTTATATGAGGACTTGTCGAGTGTACCCACAGAAACAATTTATTTTAGGCGGAGGGGGGGGCGTCGAATATGCCCTTAAAGACAGATAGTTATTTTAGGTGAAACTCTATTGGGTGTAAACCACAATGTGAGTGAGAGAGAGAGCGTGAGTAGTCAGAAAAAGTCTAAACCCTCTTCTCGTCGAAAATGAGGCCCTTGTTTGAAAACCACAAATGTCCAGGAAATGTTAGATCTCTTGGCCATGGGTACCAACGGGGCCCCGAAACAAATTTAATGATTGAGTGAAAATCAATAAGTGACTGAGTGTGTGTGAGTCACAAGGGTCCCCCCCCCTCCCCAGTAGAGCGGGAGTGACCAGCAGTAGTCAGAAAATCCTTCTCGTCGAAGAAGAGGCCTAATTTCAAAATATATAAAAGTCCGAAAAGAATAAAAGTATGGTGACCTGTCCCGACGGGGCCCGAAACCAAGAACGACTGTGCCGGCGAGGACCAGCACCAATTTACTGTTCTGATGTGCTCTGCAACCACAGAGAAAGCAAGTCATTTGGTCAATTAGTACCATAGACGTAACAATCTACTTAAGCTAAGGTCTTGTCGACTGTAATAATAAGGGAAATACCAAAATCGTGGAACTACAGGTGACTCGCATTTTAAGCACAGTATGCGTTCATTAAAATTTCCCCGTATATCGAAAACGCGTGAAATGGAAAAGTCACAGAACGAGAAGTGAGCGCTGAGGAGTAGAAAAGAAATGGCTGCAGCAAAATGGTGGAGCAATTATGAGTGCTGCGCGCGCAACTCACTGGCGTGCGCCACGGTTCATACTGTGGGTAAGCATAAAATATTCACGTTACTGCTGACAATGAAATAAATCCGCGGATATGCGAAAGCGGATTTAACAAGCCGTCTGGATTGTAGAGATAACAGAAACCACAAATCAGAGCATATGAGCCTTATAACTGTAGGAGAAGCAATAACAAATTCGTTTCCCAAATACAAGCACAGTTAAAGTTACCCCAACCATAATCCTTGTAACGATAACATAACTAACGTCCAGCAAACTCATACCAAAACCACAGTAAAATCATTCCAACATGACGATTTTAACCACATCAACAGTTCTAATACAGCATCATCATTCTTTCAAGTACAAGACCAAACGAGACATTTTTTGGGATACTGGAAAACGGAATAGCATCGTCGTTTCAGAGTTTCTCCACGAACCTCATTTTCTTTTGATTTGTACATGAAGATTCCCCCCCTCTCCCAACTTCCTTCTCTTCGAATCTGTCACTGGTTACCCTGTCAAAGTGACCTTAAATTTGAACCAACAATAACCATCGTAACATATACTACTCACATGCAAAATATGTTTAGTAAATTTGATTTGATTCATTTTTGGTCCGTCACACTAACAGCACAGCGGACCAAGAAATCATAACGGACAATATTAAGAATCTCCCCAATCAAGTTACACAGGAGGCACAACATCGGCCACCTTGAAGAGAGACGACAGGGGCTATTGACACGAACCGTATGGTTTATGTATTTTAATTTTTAACAAAGTTTTTAAAACCTTAAATATTTCTATAACCAGAAAGGCTGCTGTGGCTGATAGATGGAACATTGTGTACTTGGCAATACATGTGTAATTGTTATGACAACTGTTGTGATAGTGGTTTCTAAAAAGTGTTTGGTGTCTCTGAAGATGATCCGAATGGATCGAAACATGTAAGGCTAGTGAACCATAAACTGAGAAAACCGAAATAGTCACACTGGACGGATTTGTCTTTTATAATTATATTTAGCACACATAATTCGGCCCAGCTTTCGCCGGGCACTTCAAAAAATTATTTAAAGACTCATCATATGCTCCCTTCCACGGAAATCTTTAGTAAAAGGCGAAAGATTTATACGAAATGAAAGGAAACCAGAGCATCTTACACTACCATGTATAAGAAGGATAAACACATAACAACTTCATATCGGCGTGAGATCTAATATATAAAGCACAAAAAATCGAATTACCCTTCAACAAAGCCCGTATTGGAATCAAGTACTCCGCACTGGAACAATTTTCTGCAGGATTTAGTTGTATTATTTATTTCATTCCATATTTTACAGTGTTGACAAGTGTTGTTAGTTGATCCCGTTCGAATGCCGTTTCATTTCTACCCGTTTCCACCACCTGGGTAGGCGAGTCACCCATGGACTTCTTCCTGTACGGTTATCCAGTGGCGGTTGTTAATCATGACCAACAGAAAAGGTGGAAAAGTAAAGCTGACGCTTTGCTTAATGTTAAATGTCAGCTTCACACGCCGGCCGATTTATCCCTTCAGGAAATACTGCACGGACCCACGGTGTTGGAGATTTTGTGGGCCCCAGAGTCGATATGGACGATGTGTGGAGATAATAATACCTTGCCTCTGCCGGGAATCGCACCCACGGTCTTCCAGTCCGTAGTTCTTCGCAGTATCCACTGAGCTACCACAACTCTCATGTCCAGCATTATACTAATATAGAGAGTGGACTGGATTTAAACAAACTTAAATTGTAATTAGTCATGCATCTAGAAATTTTGGCTATTAATCTAAAAGTATTTACGCCTCGGAAAAGATTTGCATGTTTCAACTACGTAAATTATACAGTTCCTTATTTAACGTTGCCCAGTTGCATAGTATATGCAGAGGAACCCAAAAATGTATACACAACTTAATAGAGGTAGTCTACGGAGAGTTTCAAAATTTAACTGAAAGGTATTGTACGGTGTATAGTACAATATTCTCTCAAAAGATGGTGCTAGTCGCACGATAGCCAGAGCCGCCATATCGAATGGCAGAACAGTCAAAGAAAATGGCGACGAATTGGTTGTCTTTCGAGGAACGCAAAGCAATTTTAAGTGGTACAGGAAAGTGGCGGCACGAATATGCAGTAGAAACTTCAACACAATTAACAGTTGCACGAATTCGTGATAAATTTGAGACCGAAGGTGCAAAGCACAAGCAAAAAAAATCTGGGAAGTCTTGCACAACGAGTCCTGCCTCTTCTGCTGTGGTGTTGAAAGATTTTACATGATCACCGAAAAGTCCGCACAATAATGTTCACATGAGATTGTGTACAAGACATTCTAAAGCGTACTAAATACAAAGTTTACATCATATGAATGAGGAATGAAGTGAGAAAAATTGTTTGGTCTGTGAAGTAACAGTTAATCTGAGTGCTATAGTGAATCGCCGTAATTTTGTGTATTGAACTGCAGAACATTCACACATTCATGTGGACAAGGCTGTTAATGCACCAGGACTTGCCGTCTGGTGTGGACTGTCGTAAAGGGAATTAATTGGACGATTTTTTTTAAATATTTACTGAACCTATGGCCTCAAAGTACTTAGTATATTCGTTTTACCTACCATCCAATAGCTCTGTGAAGACAAACCATTTTACTTCCAGCAAAATGACGCAACGCCGGTCACGGTAGCCGAGCGGTCTAAGGCATGTACTGTCTTCACTCGCTTGGAAACCTGAATCGTGGGTTCGAATCACACTCAGGACATGGATGTTTAGTTTGTGTGTGTGCGTTTTTCTGTGTTTATGTACAGATAGAGGCCTTGCGACGAGCTGATCACCCGCCTGAGGAGTCCTACCGAATGTGTAAGATCTAGAAAAACTGAAGTGAATGGAGAAGTTCATGGAGGTAGGCCTAGGCCCACTGGGACTGTAGTGCCAAGGAAAAAAGAATGACCCATCACAACACTACCATCGAGACGTCAGAAGCAACCTTGATGACATCCTAACACTCCAATGGCTAGGACGAGGAGGTAGCGTTGTGTATTCCCCACGATCACTTGATTTAACACCACGCAAAATTTTACTGTGGGAGTTCTGAGGTATATGGATACCGTAGAAAAATACCGATATTGAAGAACTTATGGGAAAATATTGAAACATCGTGTAGCACCATCCCAGTGACCACATTGGCGACAATAATAAAGTCTAATAACAAATATAACCACCACAGTAAAATCTTTCCAACATTACGGTTTTAACCATATCAGTAGCTCAGATACAGCATCATCATTCTTTCCAGTACAAGACCAAACGAGACATCTTTGGGATATTGGAAAACGGAATCACACCGTCGTTTCAGAGTTTCTCCACAAACCTCATTTTCTTTTGATTTGTACATGAAGATTCCCCCCCTTCTCCAACTTTCTTTTCTTCGAATCGGTCACTGCTCATCCTGTCAACGTGCTCTTTCAACTTTATTCTCTATTGTCCTACAAATTCTATTATTTTTGGAGTCTGTGGTTCGCTAACAATTTCTCAGTTTCCGCTACGACCCGAAAGGATGAAGCCAGCGGTCACGGCAATTTAGTCTTTCAGATCTTGCAGAACAGTCACTGCTAGTTGTCGGACTCGATCAAGTTCTTCGTCTGAAGTAATATTCCACTCAGCTTAGCGGTTTAGGCCCTCTGGCCTGTTCTTTTCCGAATTCACTTCTTATAGGAGTGTACGTATATTTCTAGAGATTTAGTAACATTTCTTGGAAGAGAGTCGACTCATCCCAATACCTCTACTTACAGAGAAAGAAGGTGCACAAACAGCCATGCCCCGAATGGGGTTTGAACTCACGATTGAACGCCCAAGCAGTCTGAGACATGCACTTTGGCGCTCCCTGCTGTGATAGGCTAAAGTCATAATTAAGGTAGCAAAAAGCGAGACGACGTAGAGGCAACACCGCAAAATTTTTTCTGAGAAATGTTCGCTTCGAATTTTGGCAAGGACACGTCACATTCTAAGTATTTACGTATCTCCTATCAAGCCCTCCAGGCAAATACTACCTTCATTAGGCCAGGACCACTTCATTCTAAATCCTCTCCATTTTGCCATGCTATAGTCTAGCGAAATAAACCACAAAATATG